GGTTAGAAATGCTTACAAATAATCTCGCAACAATGGCCCTAAGAAGGTTTTCCAGCCAATAATGAGCCAATACACCTCTTTAAGCTCTTGGTACACTCAATTTTTGCCACTTAGAAATGGAAACGTTTCGAAAGGAAAATGTCTAAGAAGATGAAGAGATAAGATTGCAGAAGAAAGAAACCAAAGAAGATGAAGGGTTCGAAGGTTGAAGATGAATGGACAAAAGGTTCAAAATGAAGAAGAAGAGGGAAAGAAATTCCTTAAATATAAATCAATGGGAGGTGTGGAAGAACCAGAGTCGTGTGACCAATATAATTATTTGAATCAATAATATAGATTAAAGGATATTTTTGTAATTTCAAAAGGGATAAAGCAACATCACGTCTCATTTAATACCTACATATAGAACGAGGTGTAACCGTCATAATCGCTTATGATGAGGCCCAAAAAATGAGGGATGTTCCCCACTAGGGAGCTTACATGTGGCCACAATCAACCACCAAATATCAAATCGCCAAACAATACAACACATTAGAAGCATACTTTTTCATACACCATATAGACAAAATTATCGCAAGTTTCAATGGTCGGATTTTCGGATGACTAATGAGGGAAAACTTTATCCAAGCAATTCACACAACTCCAAACAACCCGGCATCAGATCATCACTATTATATCACCCAGATACACAACAGGGGTGACATAGAGCTCCACCAAGGAAGACACGACAAATGACAAAGCTTAACGTGACCAATCCAACGGTGTTCGATTGGTAACGCCTCGTAAAAATCAGATCACGGTGCTATCATTCTAGAGCTGTCCTGTTGTACCGACCGAAGAGACAACTCAAATTGTCGCTACAGAAATGATCAATCTAATCGACATATATGTATCGACTTTAGCTATGTTATACCAGCTAGTAAGACAAAGCTTCCTTACATCTTGGCACCTTGACTTTGCAGGCTACCAAGCTAGGAGGCTGGTTCTGGCTAGCCCAATAAGATGACCCAATAAGTTAGGCCCTGTATTGCTGGCCTATGTCTAAAACATTTCAGAAGACATCCCATGGTGAGCTATGGAACCTCGCCACATGGGATTCCCACCCCCTGCACAGCAGCCATTGTACACTGACAATGTATGCAAGATGCCTTGCCATAAAGACAAAGCCAGGCTGCAGTAGCACAACTCTGTCCCCTCATTCTCTCTCCCACGCCTAGGGAGTCCAACCCTACGTATAAATACCCTTTTTCTTCCATCGAAGGGCATCGCTTTTACTTCACTTATATACGATGTTACTTCACGGGTAAGTGATAGTGTACTGGGAAACTCTAACAGAGTCTTGATTACTACCGTTTCTATTAAGTGTATCCTTAGTTCAACATACTCTACCCGTAAAGGGATATATTTGTGGCTTTAATGAACACAAACAATACACCAGTAATTGTCCAATAGCTAATATTATACCATTGATTTGATGTACTATGCTAATTTCTTCATATTCCACGTTTTATTTTCCCCCCTTTCTCTTGTGTGATTGTGTTAAATTTAACATAAACACATTAATAATAAAAAGCACTAATATGATCACCAAATACATAGATCATTTGATTAGGGGTTGTTTTATTTGGTCTTGAGTTCAAGTTATTTGGAACGCAATTGTGTTAAAACTTGTTAGATTGAACTTTGCTTCGAACTAATTTGCTTCGGACTAATCATTAATTTTGTGGTCATGGATTCAATTTAGTTGCTTATTCATTTGTAAGTATCTACTCATCTGCGAGAATGTATTAGAAAATTAAAACCCACATTGTGGCACACCCTTTGTTTTAACTTGCTCTATTTAGGAGGTGTTTGGTAGAGGAGAAATATTTTTTACCAGGGAAATACAATTACTGAGAAAATGATGGGAAAATAAGTTTGGTAGGAAAGTGAAAAAAATTGTTTGGTAGGCCGAAAAATTATCGAGAAAATTGGTTTAAGTTTTATAAGTCTATGTTTGGTTGAAGGTAAAATATTTATGGGAAAATAGGGTTAAATTACCACAACAACCCTTGAGTCTTCTAAAGGAAATATGTATATATATAATATTTAAATTTTAATTTTAATTATAAAAGACACCAAATACAAAATTATTTTTTTAGTAGATAATTAGAAAACTTCTTCAAGATCGATGGTCACAAGCTCATTCAACAACACCCACACGTAGAATCTGAATCTGATGAATGTCTCCATTGTGGAACAACACTTGTTACTCTCTATTTTTCCAAAATTAGTCTCGGCCAACCCAACTTCATTCTCAGAAAACCGAGAGGGGTACTTATCAATGTTAAGTCTATTCTCTTTCTCAAACCTATTGAGGCCAAGAACCCCAAGAAGAAATCCCAGGCCAATCAAATGGATTCCTAATCAGAAAACGTCGTGCCACCGCCGCAACTCTTCCGCAACCGCGACTTCGCTGACGTTGCCACTTCTCCGACTTCGGGCTGCATTCTATCACACCAAAAGCAACTGATTCATTTCTCATTCTTCAACAGTATTGAAAACAACCAGGTAAAAAAAAATCAGAGAAAACAGTGAAAATAGATAATATTTTCGCCAATAATAGGGTAATTGAAAACCAGTGAAAGTGATTACGAAAATTGATAGTCTTTTGCCATATTAGAGTAACTAGGGGGTGTACCAGATAAACAAAAACAACTTTTGCTTTTTTGCAATGTTAAAGAGTAATTGGGTACTAGATAGAAGAACAAAATTAATCAAAATGATGATGAAGAAAATAAAGTAGAGACTCCACTTTCAACAATATATGAGGGTCATTCTCGTCTCCAGTATAACACTCTTTTTTCCCTTTCCTGGCTAAACCCCAAATACCACCCTCCATGAGGGTTTTTAGAATAGTGTTTTTCATCAATTTTTGCAAAGGAATCACAAGGCGGGGCAAACGATTTTGCCGGTAAAATTTGTTGGACTCTTGTACCAAACATGATCAAATAAAAATACCAATAAAAATGGCCTGAGTATCTAAAAGTGGCCCTACCAAACCCCTAGGCTTTGTTTGAGAGTTTGGAGGAGAAGTGAAGGAAAGGGATCCAAGAGGAAAAAAGGGGAAGGAAAGGAAGGAAATTGGAGGGTATGCCCTTCTCTTGTTTGGGAGTTAAAAAAATGAAAAGGGAGAAAAATGGAGAGTTAGTGAAATATTTTTATCATTTTAATCTTTTTTAAAAATTAATATAATTATTATATTTTGCAAATAAAATTAAATTTAAAATTTCTAACAAAATTATTTATGTACTTTTCACACTACTAAAAAAGATCATATTTTACGAAACTTCTACGTTGCAAACGACGAAAATTCCATCGAAAAAGTATTTTTTCATAAGAATATTTTTTGTTGAAAGGTGACGAAATTTTTTATCCGTCAAATTTTTTTATAGAAATAAATTTTTTGTCGAAATTTTCAACGGAATTTAGTTTTCGTCAAAAGTTTTGATGAAAATAATTTCTTAAATATTTTTGACAAAAAAAAAGAATTCCGCAAAATTTTTGACTCAAATGTTTCTATCAAAACTTTCAATGAAATTTAGATTCCGTAGAGTATTTTGACGGAATTTATTTTTTTCAAAATTTTTTACGGAAATATTTTTCATCAAAATTTTTTACAAAAACATTTTTGATGGAAATGTGTTTCGTCGAAAATTTTGATGGAAATTTTTTCGTTGAAAATTTGGACGGAAATGTTTTCGTCGAAACTTTTGACGCAATTTAAATTCCATCAAAAATTTAGATCAAATTATTTTCTGTCAATTTTTTTTTTTTAGAAATGTGTTTCGTTAAAAGTTTCGTCATAATTTTTTTTCGTTGGAAAGTTTGACGATTGTTTCTGTCGAAAGTTTCGAAGAAATTTAGATTCAATCAATAATTTTGACTGAATTTTTTTCCCTAAAAAATTTATGTCAGTGATTATGATAAAATCTTGTTCCGTCTCTAATTTTATCGAATTTTTTCCTTCTCTATTTTCGACATAATATGATTTTTGTCAAAAATTTCGTCATTATTTTTTACGAAATATTTTTCGTGAATAAATTTTTTAATAATATCACATTTAAAAATGATTCACTTTTATGTAGTTTTCACATTTTAATGCTAAGGGTAGATAAATAATTTTTAATATATCCCCTTAAATCCCCCAAATTTTGTGAGAACTTTAATTTTAAGTTTAAGGGTGGGAAGAACTTTGGAAGATTTTGTAAAAATTTCCAATTTCCTTCCTCTATTTTTCTTGCTCCAATATTATTAATTTTTTTTTACTACCAAAAAAAATAAAAATAAAACTTTTTCCTTTCTTACCCTCCTAAAACTAGCTCACAAAGAAAGCTTTAGGGGTGTTTGGTTGAGGAAATGTTTTTGGAATAGTAGGGAAACAAGATAGATAGAGAAATGATTGGAAAGATAGATAAAGTGAGATAGGTAGAAAAATGTAAAAAAAAGTTGTTTGGTGGGGAAAAACTTTACTGGAAAAATTAAGTAACTTTATGAAATCAACAGTGCATTAAAAGCCAGATAACCGGTTTTCCTAAAAATCCCACCTTCAAATTTGGTTTATAAACAGTGCGGATATCTATGTTTCTCATAAATCCAGACAAATTGGATAGATGAGTTTTTGGTGAAAAACGTTGAAACAAACATGGTGTTTCTAAAAGCCATACTTGAGAAAGATAAATATCCCCTAAAAAGCTCCCAACCAAACACCACCTTACTTGAGTTTGCGAGGAAGGGATTAACAAGGCGATCATCCGCTCTAAATTTATGTAAATTTTTGGAATTCGATATTTTTTTTCTATCATATAGTTTAAACTCGCTTCCTTCGAAATTTATAAACCCTTCCATTACAACTTGCAAGTATTATTTTTATTTTTTAATCAAATAAATAATTATAATTTTTTTTAAAAATTACAATATAATTTCGCTCCGTTTAATAAATTTTGGCTCCGAAAAAACAGTGGAAGAAGCTCCATCTCAATGGCTGCAAACGTCTTCTTCAACTTAATCTTGTTCCTCCCTTTACTCTCTCTGGTAATCAACATTGCATAACATAATCTTCTCTCACAGTTTAATCAACTTTTTCTTTTTTTCTCTTTTTCGTTTGGCTGCTGAGAAAATCAGTGTGGAAAATGAAAGAATTTTGGATTTCACGATACCCAAATTCAGAAAATCGGGCCTAATTGTTAATTTGGTTTCTACTTATAAAGTGAACCCTCTATTATTTTCTATTTTTTTTTTCTTTTTGGTAAATTTTCATGTGATGTGTCTTGTTTTGCCTGTTTCTCATAAGGTGCTAGGGCATGAAACTAAGAATTTGGAGCAGTACCCATTGGTTGTGAGTACCTGGCCGTTTGTTGAGGCTGTAAGAGCTGCATGGAGGGCTGTTGAAGGTGGGTCTTCAGCTTTGGATTCCGTGGTTGAAGGTTGCACGGCTTGTGAGGAACTGAGGTGTGATGGAACAGGTGGGAACTTGAATGTTTGAAAGATAACATGGATTTTTCTTTTATTGAATTGAAACTGTAAATTTTGTTACTTTTTTGTTTTGTTTTGTTTTGTTTTACTTCCCCTTGTTTTTTGGTTTAGTGCTTGATTGGGATAATGCTAGTTCTAGAATGTGTTAGAAACAATTATGAACTTATCTCTCCATATTGTGCTTTTGAAATATTTGATAATCGATTTTGACTAATAGCTTCTTCCATTCTTGCTGAGTGCTTGATTGGAATAATACTCTCCCTGGGTTCGCAGTATATTATTTAGGTGACTTTATAAGTTATATTCATATGCTTTAGTATTATTTATACGCAATTTATATGTGCTTTGCAGCTCAACAAAATTACTATTCAACTGTGACCTGTTTTGATGTGACTTTTGAAAATAACTTACTTGGAAGATTGATAATGGTAATAAAGCTTGCTTGGTATAAAGAGAAGAATTGTGAAAATTTCTCTTCATTTTACCCCTATAAGAATGACTTGGGCAGAATTTAGTGCTACATGTTTGGGCCTTAACTATTTTAGATTTGGTCCTTTTCGGTTTTGTTCATGATAAGTATACTTATCTGATTATCCTATTCTTAACAGTTGGTCCAGGTGGAAGTCCAGATGAGAATGGAGAAACTACAATTGATGCTTTGGTCATGGATGGGGTGACTACCAATTACCAAGTTCTATAGCTGTTTTTTATTTTCTGTCACGCATTGTACTTTTTCATGCACTGGCATGATTTTTGGTCCTATCTTATGCTAAGGGAATACATAGGTGACTATGGATGTAGGAGCTGTTGCTGCCATGAGATATGTAAAGGATGGGATCAAGGCTGCTAGGTTAGTAATGCAACATTCTGAGCATACTTTACTGGTGGGAGAGAAAGCGTCAGAATTTGCAATTTCAATGGGCCTACCAGGCCCCATAAACCTGAGTTCATCAGAATCTATTGAGAAGTGGGCCAAATGGAAAGATAATCACTGCCAACCAAATTTCAGGAAAAAAGTATTTCCGGCAAATAGCTGTGGTCCTTATCATCCAATAAATTATCGAGCGCTTCTTGATGAAACATGCTCCAATACTGATCAGATGCTAACTACTAATTCAAGATTACTTCATGTTGGCCATCACAGCCATGATACTATATCAATGGCTGTTATTGATAGAGTAAGATTACCGTAATAACATAAAAACTGATTTGTGATCATATTATCAGTGCAAATGACACTTTTTGTATGGTATAGATGGGAAACATTGCTGTTGGCACATCAACTAATGGGGCAACATTCAAGATTCCTGGCAGGTAACCTTGTGGGTTCCAATATTTGAAGTGGGCAGATTTTATCTTTTCTTGAATGCCATTTTTTTTTTCTTTTCTTTTTAAGCTATATTTGGTGTCTTTATTTCATAAAAGCCACTTGCAACTTAATTTTTATATTTTCTGTTGTAACAAATGCACATCAACTCTCAAGTCTGCTATACAGAGCTTAAGATGGGATGGCTTTAGCAATTAGAGAGTATTGTCTTTATATCTTACTGGCGGGAGTGGTTCCATTTGGGCCGTGACATTGCTTCTATCCATTCCCAAATACACATGCATAGATATATACAGCACACACTGTTAATGCAGCATATATGAACACTCTTAATTAGTTATCTAGATCCTTTTTATAATTAAAAGTTTTCTTTAAAATTTTTCTTTGATTACAGGGTAGGTGATGGTCCTATAGCTGGATCCTCAGCATACGCTATTGATGAAGTTGGTGCATGTTGTGCTACTGGGGATGGTGACATCATGATGCGCTTCCTTCCATGGTAGCATGGAAACTTCATAGTTTATCTACTTTAGATTCTGAGTTGCTTTGGGGTCGATTGCTTCTACCTTGCAATATTAAAATTATATAGTGGTATTGATCCTAACAAAAATGTCACTAACAACTATAGCAAGCAACGTCTTATTTTTTCAAAGCAAATTTGGGGAAGGGGAGTGGGAGGATGCATAGTTGACATTCATAAATGAGTGTGTTAGAGTAATATAATATAATATCATATTATGTCCTTATAGTTTAAGATTTTGGGTTGAATTGGTTTTTTACGTAGTATGAGAGCCTCAGTGACTAAGTGGTCACGAGTTTGTTCTTCACCATCCTTATTCTATAAATAAATAAATTAGATATTATGGAGTTTTTTAACACAAATAGATGGGCTTATGCATTAATTACCCTTGAAAGCCAATGGGCTTTTATGTGAGGTGACATGTTAAGGAAATATAATATAATGCACTCTTGTTCTTGTATAAACACAGCTTTAATTACTCAATTCTTATGTGTTTTCTCTTATGAATGTCAAGATTAACACGTATATTCAATTTCAGCTATCAAGTTGTGGAAAGTATGAGGTTGGGAATTGAACCCAAACTTGCTGCCAAGGATGCAATAGCAAGAATAGCGAGAAAATTTCCAAATTTTTTGGGAGCTGTTGTTGCCCTTAATAAAAAGGGGGAACATGCTGGTGCGTGTCATGGTTGGACATTTAAATACTCTGTAAGGAGCCCTGCAATGAAAGATGTGGAAGTCTTTACTGTGCTACCCTGAAAGAGAGACCGTTCAAGAAAATAATCTTCCAACAATTAAATTGAAATCGGTATGCTGATTGGGTTGGTTAAGCAAAGTTGATGACATAAAAATGTGCTTATAATATAATATTATCCTCGTTTCTGATATTAACTGAGCGATTCACATTCATTGTGCATGATCCATCTAATATAATTTTAAACAATATCAATGCTTGCATGAAGATTTCAGACTGCAGGATTTCAATGTTGTTATTTCTCAAACTCACCAGCATAGCTGTTTGGGCTAAGTTTGGGCTAACATATCCCTTGCATGATATGCTTGTAGAAATGAGAAAAGGAGGGAAGAACGTTAAGAGAGTAAGAAATATATCTTGATACAAGTTCCGTTCACCTTTATTGGTGTACAGAATTTGTTTAATCTGGTCTTTATTTAGAATTCTTTCATGTCATGTAAGGCATCAAAATCGTTTAACTTCCACTTACAGTGGTTGAAGTACATAGAAGTCTATCAAGTTCAAAACAGACATCCTAGTGCTGATATAACTAAACATATGTTTGGCTGGGCTTGGATTAATTTTTACACTACAATTTTGTAGTCTAGAGGTCTACCTGAAGCATTTTAATTATAAGCTTTTCAAATATAAATTAAATTAATTCAAACATAGAATAAATAGTTTTGAAATTTTTCATATTATCACTAGCGAGTATACCATGTTAATCTGCATTGCTTAAATCGCATCAACTTTGAAACGTAAAGACTCCGTTAATTTGGTAGGCTTCTGCCTCTTATGCAACTTGTTATGATTTTGTGAAATTGTAACTGAGTTTTATTTTTCTTCTCTTCCCAGGAAAATTAAAATTATTTTATAAGTTCTTAAAGTTTTACTGAATTTTTAAATGTCTATTTAGTTTAAATTTTTTTAATAGGGTCTTTATACTTCTAAATTTTTTAAAATAGGTCATTATTGGATAGTGGCTGTTAGACGTTGTTATTGAATAGAATAATTTGCATGCCATTCTTTTTTGTTTTTAAAATGTTTCAAGATCATAATAGTAAAATTTTATATTGAATACGGACTTATTTGAAAACTTAATTAAACTATAATGACTTATTTAAAGATTTTAAGAAGCATAGAGACAATGTTAAACAATTTTAAACTATAAGACTTAATTTAAATATTTCAATGAAGGTCATTGGATTCAACTGCACCTTCATGCCATTTGTTTCTGGACTGCAAAGGATCCAAATTATTTTCTGTCATCAGATTTAAATGTCATTATTTTCTACACTCTTGTGCTCCCATGGTCATATATATATATATATATATATATATATATATATATATATATATATACTGCTTATATTTTTAAATCATAGTTTTACAAACAGAAAGCAATTTCTTTGCTTTTATGGTCGAGATAATGATATTGAGACAAATATTTGTACTAGCATACGTTGAACATTGGATTTATATCTTCCATGAATGTTCATACTTCACCTTTATGTCGCCTATCACTGATTTCGCCTACTATTCTATTCCAAAACCAATGTTCCTGCCATACTTTCTCCATCTGTTCAAGTGGCACATTTTTTGTCTCTGGCAGGAAATAGTAAACAAACATGGTCATCAACACCACCCAACCTCCAAAGAAGAAGAAAATCCCAGACTTGAAGTGGCAAAGCATGGAAAGAAAAGTCTGAGCAACAATGAAAGTGAAGAGAAAGCTCACTGCTACTGTGATGCTTTGCCCTGTTGAACGAATTTCCAAGGGGAAAATCTCACTAGGTACTAACCAACCTAGAAGCTATATCCTGAAGAGATCATGCAGAGATCCTAGAAGCTATAATTGCATGAGAACAGGTTAATGAAAAAATGTAATCAATTGCTATTCTTTCATTCTTTTTGGCTTAAAAAATCATTCCCCGTTAAACTCTGACTTGCGAGGGTAAAGTTAAGGAAGATCCTTGTATGCAATCTTGCAATTTAGCAAAGAAATTGTTTTCCGGATTCGAGCCTCGGACCTTCCTATCGTAAAGGAGCAACTTTACCTCTTTGATCTAGGCTTTATCTTTGCATTTTCATTCTTTTTGGCTTCAATGGTATAAATGCACTTCGCAATGCGCATCCCACTCTTTTAAAGAAGCTATATCCTGAAGATGAAAATCTTCTCTTTTTTGTTAGCAAGACAGGCATTTTCTAGTTTCCAATTGAATCTTAAGTTCTCTAGGATATGTGATAGTGTGTCATGCTATAGAAACAAGAAGTGAAAGGGATGAAAGAGACAGACTAGCTTACCTGGTTTGCAAAACCAACCCCAACTCCAAGCAATAGTCGACCAACTATGAGCATGTACACGTTAAAAGCTGCGCCTCCGAGAGCTGTACCGGCAAGGAATGCAGCGCCTCCGGCAACAATGGATGGCTTGCGTCCAAAGGTTCTGGTGATATAAGAAGCGAAGAAGGAAGTAACAAGACCAGCAACATAAAGAGAGGATGTAAAAGAGGTCAATAGTTGGCTGTCAAACAAGCAGTAGTTGCTAACTTTGGCATCCCCTTTCATTTTAAGGTATACCTTGTGGAAGAACTTCTTCAGAAATGGCTCCATTGAGGTCACCCCACCTGATATACCAATGTCATAGCCAAAGATGACACCTCCCATTGCAGCCATCATACAAGATAAGACAACAAACAGGGTTATTCTGCCATTCTTTTGTCCACTTTGACTTGTTATAGCCAACCCAGCTGCCATTAACTTTTTTCTTTGAGCTTACACAGGTAGAAGCTTAGAAAAAGAGAGTTTGAGGTAGCAGAAATAGAGCAAGATAACCAAGCAATGTCTCTCGAGTTGCACAGTCAACTGGAAGCTCTGAATTTGAAGTCCAAGTGGGGTATGTACAAACTTAAAAACAGTATATTGGTTTGAATTTTCAATATAATTCAGTGCCACTCTAATAATATTTTTATGTTTCTTGATTTGATTTATAATCAATTAGGATTTGATTTGTACTTCCCCAATATCCCAATATCAGGGATTATAATGTCCTGTTTTCATAATTAAATGATTATTATAATCTTAAATAAATAGAATGAGACTGCTGAAAAATCTCTTGAGCTATTCACAAATCTCTCGTTAATAGCATGTTAAAAAATATGGTCAGCTTTGTTCTTAAGTAGTGTTTGGTAGAAGATTTATTTTGAGATTGATGGAAAAGTGTAAATGGATATTGGAAAATACTACGTTTGGTTCAGGTTTTTGAAAAAAATACTAGGCAAATAGGATAGATGGGGAAATGACTTTTGTGTTGATTTTTGGATGAAATTCACTGTTACAGAATACCATTTGAGATGTGATATTTTGAGATGATTGGGGAAGTGAAAAAACAGGTGCGAAGTTTTTTCCGAACATAAATTTTGCAAATTTAAATAAATTTCTCTGGTAATATTTTAGTCAACCAAATAACTTTTTTTATATTTTCCTATCAAACTCACTTTCCAACCATTTTTCTAGTAATTACATTTCCCTAGTATTCAAAAAATTTCTTTTCAACCAAACGTCCACTAAGGCTTAAATAACTTCCTTACACGCCACAATTTTTTTTCATATCAAAGTGGGACACACTTGCTACCTAGTAAAGTCAAACATGCATACCAGCATTCAGCAATGCCTCTATAATTGGAGAAGAGAGAGCCATTTTATATGCAATGTGATAGAGATGTGCCTCTAACCATATGCTTAAGAACAAAATCGGCAACTTCAATTATACTTTTTTTTTTTCTCACTAAAATAACAGCTGTGCAATTATGCGTGACCATAGCATGTGGTGGGCAAGCGACAGGGTTGGGACCAATTGTACCAAGGACATGGATATTGACACATGCAGCAGTTTGTAATTGTGCTCGGGAACTTTGCACGTGTTGTTGAATTTCTATAACCAAGATAAGAGTGGAAAGGAAGGTTTGAATTTTCAACAGAAAATCTCACCAATGATATCAATTCGAATAAGAGTAAATATCGTTTTCGCTCCTAGTAAATTTTACGATACTCGCTTTAGTTCCTAATAAATAAAAAGGCTATTCGTGATGTCTAAAAAATTCAAAGTGGACCCATTTTAATCTTTTTGAGGGACTAATGTGGGTCTTTTTTGAATTTGTGCGAGACCACGATTTCAACTAAATGGGTCCATTTTGAATTTGTTAGAAACCACGAATAGTCTTTTTATTTGCTAGGGACTAAAGCGGGCATTATAAAATTTGCTGATGATCAAAAAGATATTTACTCTTCAAATAAAACTGCTTGGAATTCTAATATGAACATAAAGTTTTAATCAGCATCCTTATATATTAATTAATCTGGTAATATTAAATAAGTATGGTCCAATTGTTATTAACGAAGAAAGATATAGATACAAAAACTTCAAATGATCAGATTATGCGAAATTTTAACATGAGGATTTATTTCCGTGTTAGAGTTACTGCTTTGTGTTATGTTAATAAATGAAGTAAGGAATATTATGTTGAATCAGGGATTAGTTCATAACATAAAAAATAATAATAATAAAAAGACAAATCTCGATTCACAAAACTATTTTCTAGATTTGCGAGGGTAGGGGTGATCATTAATTATATATAGCTTTGCCTTTCTATTCTTGTAAAGAGATTTTTTTGCTCTAACTAGTGACTTTTTGATTGCAAGGAGAATCTTATTATTATTCCAAATTCGCCTTCAAAAAGAAAATAACATCAACATCAATAACATCTTTATTCCAAATTAATTGAAGTCGGTGATAGATGAACTCAAATAAAAGATACAAAAAGGTTAAAAAAAGAAAAAGAAAAGTAAAAGTAAAAATAAAAAGATAGAATAGTATATATATATATATATATATATATATATATATATATATATATATATATATATATATATATATATATATAGGGAAGGATCCGTTTACAAACTTTTCTCCCAGGCCCTATGTTCTCCCGGGAGAACATAATGTAACCAGTGTTCCCGGGAGAACATAATGTAACCAGTGTTCTCTCGGGAGAAGACAGTGTAGTTTGCAAGAATTTGTAAACAAAAAAGATTGTAAATATAACCTGTCCATATATATATATATATAGGGCGTTTGTTTTCTTCTGTTGCGGATGATAACCCATTTTCCTGCAGAGACATAAATCCATGGTCCAACCATTTTTTTTTCAAAAAAGCAAACCAAAAAAAATGGCACAAATTTCGATCTATCAGTAGGAGTGAAAATTTCTTTTTCTACAACAGCAGATAATGTTTTCCCATATATATATAAGTAAAAAAGAAAGGGAAAAGAAGAAGAGGGGAAAATGAAGGGGAAAAGGACTAAAAATGGACCATCTGGAACATAGGAATAACAACGGGTCTAACCCTCCACCATGCTTATAGCTTTTCTCCAATCCGTTCTAAGGCATACCGTCCGCCAATCTATATCTCACTCCATTAAATCTTGTTTTACTACTTCCCCCAAGTAAGTTTCGGTCTACCTCTATCTTTTTTTGTGTTGAGCTCTTGGTAACAAACTTCTGTTCTTATAGGAGCATCCAAAAACCTTCTCATTACGTGCCTAAACCACCTCAATCTATGTTCTCTCATCTTTTCAGCCAGCGGTAGTACTCCTACCTTTCGTCGAATATCTTCATTTCTTATCTTATCCATCCTTGTATAACCACACATCCACCTTAACATCTTCATCTATCTCTGCTACTCCCATTTTATGCTCATGTTGCCTATGTGCTGGCCAACATTCAGCTCCATATAACATTGCAGGTCTTACTGTTGTTCTATAGAATTTTCCTTTTAACTTAAGGGGAATTTTGCGGTCACACAAAAACCCAGATGCACTACGCCATTTCATCCACCCTGCTCTGATTCTATGATTTACATCCTCATCAATCTCTTCACTTTTTTTAAAATGGAGCCCATTTATTTAAAAGCATCTTTCTTAGGTACCTCTTAACCACTTAGATGCACAAGATCTTGGTCTACATCTCTTACCAGAGAAAACTCACACTTCAGATACTCAGTCTTGCTCCGACTTAATGTGAATCATTTAGATTCCAACGTGCTTCTCCACAATTCAAGTTTAATAAATAAATAAATAAATAATTAAATAAAACATTCAAGCTTGATTTATGAAGCGCTTCAGTAGAAAGTAAAATAAAAAGGTTAGTTTATATAATAGCCCTAACCTAATTAATTAGCAAATTACATGTAATTAAATAATTAAGCATGTTTAGTGAGTAAAATTAAGTATAAGGCTTAATTAAATGAATCTGAGTCATTTTGGAGTTAAAAAGTGTACTCAGTGAAAATTAAGAGGTATAAATGGGCACTGGCGAAAGTGCCCAAAATATAAAAATAAAAATAAAAATATTCCTAGAATAATATTCCAGACTTTTGGGTAAAGTTTGGTAATTAATAGAGTTGGATAGATAGATGAACCAATACCCACATAAGCCACTTAACTAAGTAAGTGACTTAGAAAGTAAATAGAGAACCCCATTTCCCACCCCAAACCGTCGAGCAAACTGAGAGAGGAAATAAGAAGAAGAAGAAGAAGAAGAAGAAGAAAGGGAGGAAGAGAGAGAGAGAGCTATTCTCAACCGATTGGAGCGATTCAAAAGCCTAAATCGCTTAGATGATTAATCCAAGCTTGGTTCTTAGTGGGGAGTTTTGTGTGGTGAGA